TCTATTAGCTTGTGCCAAGTATTCATGAGCAGATCTGGTAAAGAAATAACCCACAATTACAGTACTTCAATAACATATTTCCAGCAGCTAGATCCCATCTGAAAATAAACCCAGAAACAGAAAATCCAATTAGACAACAGGAAGATCTAAAGAAGCTGTAAGCTCAGATGGAAGAAAGCACCAACTCCCCAAAACAGCAGCAGTCTGCTCTTTGACAGCACCTCATGTGGGATGCTACTACAGAAAACAAAAACCTTAAGCCTGCAAGAAAAGATGCAGCTTCTTCCTATTTGCAGACGCTTAACAGCTCTAATTGCAAATTCAGATCCTAAGCTTGTGTTGCCAAAAACATGGGCACAGCCTGTATTCTTAAGTAAGGAGTCCCAAAGATAGCTCAAGACTCATAAATCACAGAGCTCAGCAAAATAACTGTACTAGCAGGGAAAGGCCAAAGCAGTAATGGCCTTTGGACTACAGCTTGTGCCAGTAGAGCACCACTTAGATGGGATGAGCAGAGCACTCCAGAGAGGGAGAAAGCTTCCAGAAAGGCTGGGTCCTGCTAAAGGAAAAATACAGGGAGCTGTTCTTCCTGCTTGTGGCTCTTCCTTCAGCACCTCATGCATGGCCAAGTGGACCTTGCCTACACCCCTGCTCATCACACCAGTCCAAGCTGTGGACCAGTTCTGACAACAATGTCCTGGCCCACATGTGTTTAAACCAGGCATCATGGTGCAGAGGATGAGGAAAGGTGTCCAGATTGGAGGGAGCAGCCAAGAAGGAGCATCTCTTACTCCCATTGCAAAGTGGACACAAACAAGGACTTGCACTCCGTGGAGCAAGAACAACATTTAGGGTAAATTTCTGTTAAGGCTGCTGTGAGCTAAGAGAGTGAGAACCCAAAGTGGTTTCTGTGTGTCCACTCTGGAGCCTCCTCCAGCAGCAGCAGCACTCAACTCTCCCCGTGCCATGGTGTTTGTCTGAACCATTATTACGCATCGCTTCCTCCAGCGGGCTGGAGAGCTGCTCACAGAGCTGGAAGTGAAGGCAGCTACACAGCATACCTAAAAAAAGCTTCCAGTACTATTGGGAGGCTTTTTTTGCTTATTCTTGCATCACCTGGTCACAGCCAACTGTTCTACACTGAAGCTGCTTCAGTATCTTTCCCTGAGAAAGCCCCTGCAGCCCACAGGGCTGAAGCCTAGAGCCAAAGCACGCCAAGGGCAAGGCTGGAGGAAGCTGCAGCATTTGCCAAGCCAAGAGAAGACCCTGCACCCTCAGCATCTCTCCTGCCAAGCAAGCACTGAATAGCCTCATGCCCATGCTCCCAGAATCACCTCAAAGAGCCACAGAACAGCCACAAGAGAAGCATGAACCCTCAGATGGATTCAGAGCAGCCAGCCAGCCAAGAAAGCTCTCTCCCTCAGGGGCTGCAGAGGTGGGAAGGGAACATATAAAACATGCCTCAGCTGTGCGTAAATATTTTATTCCTCAGATTCATGCTTAGTCAACCTCCATCATTATTTTAGGGGCCTTACTCAGGCACTGAAATTGCCTCCCCATCATCTCACCTACATAAAGCATGGACTTATCAAGTATCTCACTCCAGCTCAGCTCATTCACACTGCAAAAGCTGGAGGTCCTGAGTATGTTGTGAGCTCACACACAACTTGCCGTGTGACCGAGGCTGTGCTGAAACAAAAGCAAGGAGGAGGCAGGTTCCCACCATTGTTAGCATCAACAGGAGCAGCAAGAATTGTCTGAAAGAATTTCCTACTGCAAACAAGGCAGCAAGGTGAATAAAGGAAACAAAAAGGTCACAAGCTAAAATACAGTCCTGTGTGCACCACCCGGGGCTGCTTCCTTGGTGCAGACAGCTGAGCCAGGCCAGGCCCAAAAGCCCATTTGGCAGCAGCAGGCAAAGAAGCCAAACCCCGTGCCCTGGCTACCTCAGCAGCTCAGCCACCCACACCCACAGCACCTCTCACCTTCAGTGAGAGGAGCCTGAAGCCCCACAACGCAGAAGCATGGGGTACCCCCTCCCTCACACCCATCTCTTGTCCCAAGCCAGTGGTCATGGTGGCCCTGTGGCACGCAGCAGCACACACAGATATGGCTCTCCAAAGGTGCTGCCCTTAAGCTCTTGCAGAGCACAGTGGGTGTCAGCAAATCTGCTGCTCCAAGACAAAGCACAGATGCTTCAGCCCCCCTCTACCTTCCCATCTCCCTCTCCTTCCTCCCCTCCATGGAAACCAGCAGTCTCTCATTATCAAGTATTTTTAAAACAGATTGAAGAGTAAGAATACATTGTGCTGTTTTAATCTCTCAGATAATGTTTTCTATGGTTTCTATGCAAAATCTGCATTCCAGCTTCATTTTCCCTCAGTTTTTTTTAGACTTGGCAAGGGGGGTACACCAAAGTAGACTCTTAAATGAACATGTGTCCCACTCCTGCAACATAACCAAGCTCTGGTTCTGTACATATTTAGGATAAACACAAAGAGAAGGGTAGGTAGGCCAGGGCTCTCTTCCATACTTAGATCTATGAACAAGCCATCCAACACTGGTCAAGATGCTGGGAATTAATCCAAGAGGAAGAAAAGTGCCCCCTATCCAGCACATCTCAACAGCTTCCAGAGTGGAAGTGGCTTATCTCACACTGAGCCCAGATGACCACAGCATCCTCTCAGCCTGGTGCATGTTTAAGTACAGGCATGGATTTCATCAGCTAAGATCTCCCACAGCAGCTCCCGGCATCCATTCTGCCAAAACTTTGCTTATGCAGGCCTCTACATTTGCATGCCAAAATCAGTCTCCATTAAGTCAAATGAAATTACAGGCAGCAACATTACACATGTGCCTTCACATCTGTGGGATCAGGGCCTTAAAAAGAAAGCCTCCCGTCCTACCAAAACACACCCTACTCAGCTACAATTAAACACAGACACTTCAGAGCCGTTTACTCAAGTTATTTTTCTATGCATACTTTTACAATTAACATAATGTCATATCCTGCCAGGACGTAAAAGCTTGTGACTCAGGAATGTTATCATCATTTTAACTCCAACTGACTCGCTTTTGGTTTCATTCCTTTCCTTTTTCTTTCCCCCTTCCTTTAATTCTCCTTCCAACAAGACACACGCCACTCAGGGCTCCACTCAGTCATATTTTGCAAGAAAGTTGCAAAGGCAAACGTTCACCAGTCTTGCCTTACTCTAACATATAATTAACAATTCCTTGCAACTGCCTGCCACCCTCACAGCAGAGCACAACAGCAGCATGCAAAGTGGGAGCAGGGAGGATTAGATAAGGCAGTACATAAGACAGAACATGCCCTACACCTCCCGAATGCCAGGTGACCATCCTTTCTTCGCTCATCACCCCAAGATAAAACAACTCTCATGTCCAAAAAGCGCAGATTCCAGAGGATCTGCCCAGCAGCTGCTTGAGGGGAAGCCGAGTGCCCTCCTCCTTCCCTCTCCCACAGGCACACGCTACTCTCATGCTGACGGATGCTTCATCCTGTAGTCAGTCCCACTGGACTGGACTCAGCAGTCCACAGACAAGAACTTAGTTTAACTGGCGCAAAACCTTCTGTGGATGTTGTTCTGGGATGGCCATGGATTTGGGCTAACCAAAATAACGCAAGAGGCTCAGCAGCAGCACCAGTTTAACATAATAACAAAAAAAAAGAGCGCCAAACACATCCACAAGAACAAACAGCAATCAAGTCTTGCAATAAGCCACGTTCCTGAGCCTATTCATGCTGCAAAGTTACTGCTCCACACAAAGCCAAAAGGCTCTGCTTTGCAATACCCTTCAGCTTGCCCTAAAAAACCATCTGAAGCCACACTTTCAATGCATATTCGTACACTGAAAGACAAACTTCAATTTCTAAGCATGCTTTAGACCTTAAGATCAAGGAAACATTTCAGAAGAAGCCTTACAAACGGCTGGCATAATTTATAGGCATTCTGTTAAGAAACACCAGCTCTTATTTTGCTTAGTAGCATAACTTCCCCACCTCCAGTAACACCATTAACCCCATCTCCATACATTTGTTTTGCCACATCAGAGGAACCATACAGCCCCGCAGATCCATAAGCACATAATAAACGCTAAAAGAAACTGGTCTCATCCCGGTTACATCTTGAACGCAAACCATTTTCTTATTTTGAGACAGAGTCACAATCTAGCTCCCTACTTGTGGGCAACTTATATGTTACTCCCAAGCACTGAAAAAGTTACCGGGAAGTCGGTCAAGTCTCTCCCTCCCCGGCCGACGATGCACAAAAGCGCATTCAGTCCGGTCACGGTGGAGTTTCATTCATGTTCCTGCAAGCTGGATGCAAGAGAGACTTCCTTTGCTTTTTCGGTATCTTTTAGCTTTTGTGGGTTTGAGGTTTTTTACACTTTCTCCCTGTCAGGGGGAAATATTTTGTCTTCCTCAATACGAACCTAAAAACCCTCTCCGCCACCACATCCCCAGAAAAACGGTCACACTGGAAAATGCAGGACACGCTTGCCCCAGGAACACTTCCATGCCGGGACCGCCGTGCCGCGCCCGCCGCAGCCTCTCGGGGACCGCGGGCCCGTCCCGCCCGCCGGCTGCCCACCGCACGGGGCACAGCCCTTCCCGCTCTCAGCTTGTCCCGTCCACGGGCAGCGGCGGGGCAGAAACACGCACGGCAAGGCAGCAACACCTCAGGGTCGGCGGGCACAGCCCGGGACCACCCCCGCGGGGCTCCGGGAGCAGCTGCCCGCCGCCGCCACGGCCCCGCCGCAATCACGAGCCGCGGCCCCAAAGAAAGTTTAGCGCGGGCTCCCCCGGCCCCGGAAAAGGGCAGAGTCGGCGCGCCGCGGTGAGCCCACCGTGCCCCCCGGCATCGCGCCCCCGCAGCCCCCCGCCCCTACAACCCCCAGCAAGGCATCCCCGGCACTGCGCCCCGGCAGCGCTCGGGCGGTCCGGCCCCGGCCCCGCGCTGCCCCCCGGCCCCGCGCACCGCCGGTCTGCCCACGGCCACGGCCATCGCGGTGCGGTGTCTGCGCTGCGCTGCCGCCCGCCGCCTCTGCGCTGCCTGCTAGCACTGCAACATGGCCACCCGGCGGGGAGGGCCCATGCGCAATGCAAAGGGGCCGGGCGGCGAGGCGGGACCCCCCCGGCCCTCCCCCGGGGCCGCCGGGCAGCGCGGGCGGGCGGCCGGCGCCGCCCTGCCGCTCGGGGAACCCCGAAAGTCGGCGGGAGCCCCGGGGGGCTGCAGTCAGTGCCCAGCGGTAACCCCCCGCTAATCCCTCTCCTGCCCACGCCCCCCACGCCGGGCCGCGGTACCCGTCCCCTTAAGCTCGAAAGGTCTCTCTCGCCCACCCTGGCAGCCCCACGTCTGAACGCACAGACACATCTGCCCCAAAGAGACGGCCAAGCCAGCGCTCAGCGAGGTCCTCCGAGCAGCAGTTAGGTGAAGAAGGAGCGCGGGAATTCGGCAAAGAGGTATTTCTAACAAGGAGGCACACAGGAGCCCTTAACTCCCTTGTGTAACAGAGGGCAAAACCTGCCACCTCATTCCTCTTGTTTCTCCGAGCACGTATCTTCTGTCACACACGCAGTTTTTCAACAAACTTGGTATACCGAACAGCAGCCATAGTGGCCAGTTGCTCTCCCATGTCACAACATATGTCACAGTCGAGATGGCCACAATACACAGAGTGTCACCGTACAATTGCAGAGAGCTTCAGCCCATACAGAGTAACACCACACCACTTCAGTAGGCTGCAAGCAGCTGCCCTTCTTGTTCTTTAAACTCAACCTTTTACATCCCTCATGGTTCATGCACTGCACCTGTGTGCCCTCTGTTCCCTTTGGTGACTGGTCAGCACACCTGGGCACTCCCTGCCTCGTTACCTTCAATGCTGCTCACCTGCTTGGCACAGCTGCAGCCCGTTGGGGATGAGGCTCTGCCGCAGCCCCACTCCCAATTCCCACAAACTGTGTGCCTACACCCCCGCTCCACTAAATGACTTCCAGGGCTGAAGTGAAGCAAAGCTGGTTACTTGCCACTCCAGCTGACAAGCATTTAACATCCTAGGTTGAGCATAATATCCCATTATCTAAAAAAGGAGGAGACTCTTAGGGCTAAGCCAAACTTTGCCAATCTTTGACCAAGGCAGTCATGAAGAAAGGGCACTGCACTGCTTTGTGAGACATAAAATCCCAAAGAGTTACAGAAGGCAAGAAACCCTATTTGCTGCACACATGAAGGATACACTGAATTATGGACACATATAAGAACATCCACAGAATCAAAAGGAAAAATCCAGAAGATTAAAAATTGGGAGCACAAGTAAATGACCCAAGGTAGTGGTAAGCAAATAGAGCTCTGCAGTACACTTACCATTTGTAGTCCCTTTGATGTCAAGTTGGTACCTTTTCCTTCCAAAGCCATTTCTGTATGGCTACATAGTAACACATGGCTCTTTGAAGAGGGCTACAGAGTCCAGGTATCTCCTTCCTGTAGCTTTTTTGACTATGTTTTGAAGAACTCAGTAGCTGATCTTGGCAAAAGGTCATCCACACCAGCTCCTGCACCCCCAGCCTGAACCAGAACCAGTGGAAGTGCACTCCCTGATCCTGCTCCCCACCAGCAGCTGAGGCTCTATACCTGAGCAGTGCCCTCAACTGGGCACAGGTGCAGCCCTCACCAGCAAAGCTCCTGCACCAAAAGACACGCAAGGGTGTCTACTAGGAACATTTGGCAAGCATAGCTGATGCAGTGTTTTCATCACTATAACATGTTAGGCGTTAATGCCAATATCTGAGGGAGGCTCTTGTAGCAAATTCCTCCTGCACACACAGCTCCGGGTGAGGAGGTGCTGACCCAGCCTGTACTGGAAAATGCGCCTGGACCAGTGCAGCCTCTAGTGGAAACCTGGTGATCCTAGCTAAAGAGCTGCCCTCGTGGCACCTGTGGGTGAGGCAGACAGATCTTCCCCTCGTCTGGATTAGAGATGCACGATACTCCTACATCAGCATAACTCAACCAACATGAAAATCTCCTATGCTCACAACACCTTGACGTGACTCACCGTGTCCTTCCTTGGCCCGGGGCTGGGAGAGCTGTGGAAGCGTTTCCTCCATGATACTCATGCACACACACCTTCCTGGGTATGGCCATCTGTGCTGAAAGAGCAGGGGCAGAAAAACAGCAGCATAAAGAAATGTTCTGCCATCTTCCCAGACCTCAGCTAGTGCAGGTCTCTGCAATTGCTACTGGTCAGCACCTTGTTCCTCAAAATTTCATACCTGTTGCTAACAAATCAACACCCAGGCAAAGAAAACTGCCAGCCCCTCATTCCAGAGACCCTACTGGAACTGTTTCAATATTTCCCAAGATGTTAGGCATCATTTTACAAAGCCACAATACACAGAGTGGCATCATACCAGTTCAGAAGGCTTCGACCCATACAGAGTAACACCACACCACTTCAGAAGGCTACAAGCAGCTACCCTTCTTGTTCTTTAAACTGAACCTTTTACACCCCCTCACGGTTCATGCATCACACCTGTGTGCCCTCTGTTCCCTTTGGTGACTGGTCAGCACACCTGGGCACTCCCTGACTCGTTACCTTCAATGCTGCTCACCTGCTTTTCACAGCTGTAGCCCATTGGAGATGAGGCTTGGCAGCAGCCCCATTCCCAGTTCCACAAACTGTACCTACAGTTTGCCCACTGTTGTTTATTTGGATTTTTTATCTTAGCAGTCTACCCTCCTTTCTTATTTGTGATCACAATTACAACCATTCTGCTCCATTAATTTCCTCTCAGTTGCTTCTGCTGAGAGCATGCTGCTAACAAATGCTTTGTGACGGCAATCCAGGGCTCATCAGAAGAGGAGGGAGAAATGTATGGCATGGAGAACAGCACCAAAGGAATGTGCAAAGTGATAAAATACTAAAGTGAGCCTTACTCTCTCCCCAGCACCTGCACCCTATCCAGATGAACACCTCTGATGGGATGTAGCTTGTACATAGCATCTATTGTAATCTCTGTTCAGGGTTTCTGAGGGCTGCACACACTTCTGTGTTTGCACTAGGCTGCAGGATATTTCAGCTGCTTACATGACAGGCAGCTAAAAATATTTATGGATAGCCAAGAGCCTGCAGCAGAGATGGCCCACACTAAACTCAGTCTCTCCATCCTCTAATTGCAAGACAGAAAATCCAGCACACCTTCTCTCCCACACTTTTACCCACTATTCAGTCCTCAAACTGCTTGGGGCGGGGGCTGTCATTTTTTTGGTGCGCACAGGGAACACTGCCCAGGGGAGCACTGATCTTACCTGTTTCTCTCAGCTGTATGTACACACTTGTAGTAACAGCATGGGCAATCCAGAACAAAGTGAGATCCTCACAACAGTACAACGTGTGTCCAACCTCTCAGCCACGCAGCAAATACAGAGATGAGATGTGGTTAGATATGATTTGACTGCTGACACCCATGGTGTTTGTGTGTGGTTGTCAAACATGGGTACAATCACACACACTTGTAATAACAGCTACCCCAAACCACAACACATTTGTAAATCTGTACTGCCAGTTTTCCTAATACTGCGCCACAGGGCAGCTCAGGTTGGGAGGCATCTCTGGTGTTTAGGTGTTTCATGACACACTGAATATCCTTGAGGATGGAGACCTACCCTTTCCAGCCAACATGTTCCCATAGGTGACCACCCTCACTGTAAAATAGTTTTCCCTCACACACAAATGGAATTTCAATTTGTGCCTATCATCTCCTGTCCGTTCACTGACACCAATGACTGATAAGCAGCTCTTTGGTCTCACTGCCCGCCAGCAAAGGACCCTCGCACTTCTCAGCTCCTCCCGCCCCCCTAGCCTGCTTCTCTCCTTCGGTGTCACCACTCCTCAGCGCTGTCACTCCAGCTCGCACCTCCGCGGGCCGCCACCTCGGGCAAAGGCGACCGTGGGGTGGCGGCCCGGCCGCGGAGGAGGAGGAGGAGGAGGCGGAGAGGCCCGGCGCGGCAGGAGGCGGGTTTCCCCGCCGCACCTGGGTGCAGCGCTGAGCACCGAGGCACAGCACCGAGCACCGAAAGCCGGCCGGCCCGGAGCATGGCGCGGGAGCTGAGCCAGGAGGCTGTGCTGGACTTCCTCTGGGCGGCCGGGGGGCGAGCCCCCAACACGGCGCTGCTCCGCCACTTCCAGCGGTTCCTCCGCGACCCGGCGCTGACGGAGCAGCAGCGGCGGGAGCGCCGCGAGTACTTCAAGAGCCTCGTCAACTCCCTGGCCACCGTCCACCCCGCCGCCGCCCCCGGCGCCTCCAAGGACATCGTCCTCCGCCGCAGGTACCGCGACCTCCTCGATGAGCAGCTGCCACCTCCGGAGGAGCAGCGGGAGCAGGAGGAGGAAAAGAACGAGCCGCCGCCGCCGCCCCGACGCGACCCCGAGGGGCGGCGCGGCCCCCGCGGGGAGGCGGCGGAGCAGGGGCGGCCCGGCGGGGCGGGGGGCTGCGCCGCCCGGGGCCGCGGCGGGCCGTGCTGCGAGTGCCGCCGGGCTCGCCGCGCTGCCGCCGCCGCCGCCGTCCCCGCGCCGGGCCCCGGGACACCGCCCGCCCCCCGGCCGCCCCGCTGCCGCTCCCCGCCGCCCCCCCCGCAGCCGCCCCCGTACCGGACCCAGCCGCTGTCTTCGGGCCCCTGGGCGCTTCGCCCCGGCGGCACGGCGCGGCCCCAGCCCCCCGCGCTGCCGTCGGATCCTGGGGCGCTGTCCTCCGCGGTGCCGCCCCGGTCCTTATCGCCGCCGCTGCCACCGGGCCCGGAGAGGCCGCCTCCCTACAGACCGCCTCAGCCCCGATCTCCACCGCAGCCGGTGACTGGGATGCCCTTGCTGAAAGCCCCTCGACCCTCAGCAAGCCCGGGGAGGCGACCCCACGCCGGACTCATCCCGTCCCCGCTGCTGTCATCGGGCCCCAGGGCGCTGTCCCCCCGTGACCTGCCCCCATCCCGACCCTTGCCGTTGCTGTCCGCCCCGGAGGTGCTGCCCCTGTCCCGGTCCCTGCAGGCACTCCCTGCCAGCCCCTCATCGCCACTGCTTTTGTCAGGCCCCGAGGCGCTCGCTTCCACCAGGC